AGAAGTTAGTTGTACCCACAAAAAATAAAAAAGGCAATAATCTTACAACAGTAAATCCCAAAGAAAAGAAATACACACACTACCATGACCAACATCAAAACCAAAAAATAACAGGAATTAACAATTACTAGTCATTAATATCTCTTAATATCAGTGGACTCAATTGTCTATAAAGAGACATGGCTAACAGAATGGATAAAACAACAACAACAACAAAAACAGGATCCAACCTTCTGCTGCATACAAGAAACACACCTCAACTTCAAAGAGAGACATTACCTCAGAGTAATGGGTTGAGAAAAGATTTTCCAATCAAATGGACCTAAGAAACAAGCTGGTATAGCTATCCTAATATCTAACAAAATATACCTCAAACTAAGATTAATCAATATAGATGGAGAAGGACATTTCATATTCATCACAGGAAAAATCTGTCAAGATGAAGTCTCAATTCTGAACATATGCCCCAAATGCAAGGGCACTCACATTTGTAAAAGAAACTTTACTAAAGCTTAAATCACACATCCAACTTCACACACCAATAGTAGGAGACTTCAACACCCCACTCTCAGCAATGGACAGGTCTGCCAGACAGAAACTTAACAGAGAAATAAGGGAACTAACAGATGTTATAACTCAAATGGACTTAAGAGACACCTATAAGCCGGGTGGTGGTGGCGCACGCCTTTAATCCCAGCACTCGGGAGGCAGAGCCAGGCGGATCTCTGTGAGTTCGAGGCCAGCCTGGGCTACCAAGTGAGTTCCAGGAAAGGCACAAAGCTACACAGAGAAACCCTGTCTCGAAAAACCAAAAAAAAAAAAAAAAAAAAAGAAGAGACACCTATAAAACATTTCACCCAAACAAAAAAGAATATACCTTCTCAGAACCTCATGGAACCTTTTTCTGAAATTGATCACAGACTCAGCCACAAAGCAAATCTCAACAGATACAAAAAAATTGGAATAATCCCCTGTATCTTATCAGATCACCATGGCTTAAAGTTAGAATTCAACAACAACACACATTACAGAAAGCATACAAAGTCATGGAAACTGAGTAATGCTCAACTGAATCACCACTGGGTCAAGGAAGAAATTAAACTTCCAAGAATTCAATGAAAATGAATGCACAATATACCCAAACTTATGGGACACTATGAAAGCAGTGATAAGAGGAAAGTTCATAGCACTAAGTGCCTATAAAGAATTTGGAGAAATCTCATACTAGCAACTTAATAGCACACCTGAAAGCTCTAGAAAAAAAAGAAGCAAACTCACCCAGGAGGAGTACATGACAGGAAATAACCATACTGAGGGCCAAAATCAATAAAATAGAAAAACAAAGAGAACAATACAAAGAATCACTGAAATGAAGAGTTGGTTCCTTGAGAAAATTAACAAGATAGGAAAACCCTTATCCAAACTAACCAAAAGGCAGAGATATAATATCCAAATTAACAAAATCAGAAATGAAAAGGGGGACATAACAACAGACACTGAGGAAATCCAGGGAATCACTAGGTCATACTTCAAAAACCTCCATAAAAATTGGAAAATCTAAAATAAATGAATATCTTTCTAAATTAGGTACCTCATACCAAAATTAAATCAAGAACAGATAAGAAGTTTAAACAGACCTATAAACCCTAAGAAAATAGAAGCAGTCATTAAATGTCTCCCAAAGTAAAAAAGCTCAGGGCCAGATGGTTCAGTGCAGAATTCTACAAGAATTTGAAAGAGGAGCTAAAACCAATACTCCTCAAATTATTCCACACAATAAAAACAGAAGGAACATTGTCAAACTCTTTTTATGAGGCTACAGTTACCCAAACTACACAAAGACACACTAAGAAAGAGAATCACAGACCAATCTCCTTTATGAACATAGATACAAAAGTACTCAATAAAATGCTAGCAAACTGAATCCAAAAACACATAAAAAATATCCACCATGATCAATCAGGCTTCATCCAAGAGGTGCAGTGATAGTTCAACAAATGAAAATCTGTCAATGTAATCCACCATATAAACAAAGTGAAAGAAAAATCCCACATGATCATCTAATTAGATGCCGAAAATGCCTTTGACAAAATCCAACACCCCTTCATGATAAAGGTCTTGGGGAGATCAGGAATGCAAGGAACACACCTAAACATTAAAAAAGCAATATATAGCAAGCCAACAACCAATATCAAATTAAATGGAGAGAAACTCAAAGAGATTCCACTAAAATCAGGAACAAGACAAGGCTGTCCACTCCCTTCCTATCTGTTCAACATCATACTCCAACGTCTAGCTAGAACAATAAGACAACAAAAGGAAATCAAGGGGATACAAATTGGAACTTTTGATATTTGCAAATGATATAGTATACATATGATAGTGACCCTACAGCTAATAAACACCTTCAGTAATGTGGCAGGATACAAGATTAACTCAAAAAAAGTCAGTATCCCTCTTATATACAAATGATAAATGGGCTGAAAAAGAAATCAGAGAAACAACACTCTTTACAACAGCCATTAATAAGATAAAATATCTTGGGGTAACTCTAACCAAACAAGTGAAAGACTTGTATGACAAGAACTTTAAGTTTTTGAAGAAAGAAATTGAAGAAGATATTAGAAAATGGAAAGATCTCCTGTGTTCTTGGATAGGTAGAACCAACATAGTAAAAATGGCAATCTTACCAATGCAATCTACAGATTCAATGCAATTCCCATCAAAATCCCAACACAATTCTTCACAGACCTCAAGAGAACAATACTCAATTTCATATGGAAAAACAAAAACCCATGATAACTAAAACAATCTTGTACAATAAAGGAACTTCCAGAGGCATCACCATCCCTGACATCAAGCTCTACTATAGAGCTACAGTAATAAAAACAGCTTGGTGTTGCCATAAAAACAGACATGTGAATCAATGGAATTGAATAGAAGACCCTGACATAAATCCTTACACCTATGGAGACCTATGGCATAACTGGATGTCAACATGTAGAAGATTGCAAATAGATCCATATCTATTGCCATGCACAAAACTCAACTCCAAGTGGATCAAAGATCTAAACATAAATCCAGTTACACCAAATATGATCGCAGAGAAAGTGGGAAGTAGCCTTGAACTCATTGGCACAGGAAACTACTTCCTGAATATAATACTGGTAGCATAGACACTGAAATGGACAATTAATGAATGTTACCTCCTGAAACTGAAAAACTTCTGTAAGTCAAAGGACATGGTCAATAACACAAGAAGACAGACTACAGAATGAAAAAAGTTTTTTACCAACTCCATATCTGACAGAGGACTAATCTTCAAAATATATAAAGAACTCAAGAAACTAGACATCAAAATACCAAATAATCCAATTTAAAAATGGGGTATAGATCTAAATAGAGAATTCTCAATAGAAGAATCTCAAATGGCCAAAAGACATTTAAGGAATTGCTCAACATCCTTAGCCATCAGGGAAATGCAAATCAAAATGACAGTGAGATTCCATCTTATACCTGTCAGAATGGCTATGATCAAAAACCCTGATGACAGCTTATGTTGGAGAGGATGCAGAGCAAGGGGAACACTCCATCACTGTTGGTGGGAGTGCAAACTTGTACAGCCACTTTGGAAATCAGTATAGCAGTTTCTCAGAAAATTGGGAATCAATCTACCTCAAGATCCAGTAATACCACTCTTGGGCATATAATGAATGGATGCTCAATCATACCACAAGGACACTTGCTCAACTGTGTTCATAGCAGCATTATTCATAATAGTTAGAACCTGGAAACAACCTAGATGCCCCTCAACCAAAAAACAACTAAAGGGAATGTGGTATATTTACACAATGGAGCATTAGTGATAAAACAAAAAAAAAAAAAAAAGCAAAAACGACGACATCATGAAATATGTAGGTAAATGGATGGAACTAGAAAAAAGTCATCTCGTGTGAGGTAACACAGACTCAGAAAGACAAACACGGTATGTTCTCACTGTCTAGTGGAGAGTAGATGTAAAACAAAGGATAACCAGTCTACAATCCACAGCCCTGGAGATAACATGGAGGACCTAAGAGGCATGCATGGATCACCGTGGGAAGGGAAAATAGATGAGATCTTCTGAGTTAACTGAGGGAGGAGGTGTAGGGGAGGAGATCGAGATGGTCAAGTTGGGGGAGGGAGAGAGAAGGTGAGTGACAAGGGAGATATCTTGATAGAGAAGACCAGAATGGGATTGGAGAGAGGTCTGGCACTGGGGAGGCTCCTGGGAATCTATGAAGATGACACCAGCTAGGACTCCTGGCTGTAGTAGAGAGAGTGCCTGAACTGGTCTTCTCCTGTAGTCAGATAGAAGACTACCCGAATTGTCATCATAGAACCTTTGTCCAATGACTGATGGAAGCAGATGTAGAGGTCCAAGGCCTGGCACTCTGGGAATCCAGCTGAAGAGAGGGAGGAGATATTATATAAGCAAGGGCAGTCGAGATCACGAGGGAGGAGGGGGAAAGCCACAAAGACAGTTGGCCTGAGTTCGTGGGAGCTCAGGACTCTAGACCAACTCTAGGGAGCATACATGGGATTGATCTAGGTCCTCTGAATGTGGGTTACAGTTGTGTAGCTTAGTCTGTTTGTGGGGCTCCTAGCAGTGGGACAAGGACCTATCCCCAGCACATCAGCTGACTTTTGGAACCTACTCCCTATGGTGGTATACCTCGATGCAGGGGGTAGGAGCTCGGTCCTGCCTCAACTTGATATGTCATGCTTTGTTGACTCCCAAAGAAAAACTTACCCTTTCTGAGGAGTGGATGAGGGGGGTAGAATGGAGTTGTGAGGAGGGAACGGGAGAAGAGGAGGAAGAGGAAACTGTGGTTGGTATGTAAAATAAACATAAATGAATGAATTAATTTTTAAAAAGACCTATGAATGAAATCATGATTACCTCTTGAATACTTGCTAAAATATTTCAGAATGCCAAAGCTTTAGAGAACAAACTAGTCTTTCAGAGCTGTTCCGTCATCTTCAAGAAAGTAACTGTGATGGGATGTAGAAATGATTCAGCAGTAAAAGGTGCTGGATACCTTTCCAGAAGACTGGCATCCAATTCAAGCATTCACACAGCAGTTGACTACTGTAGCCAAATTTCTATGTGTTCTTATTAAATAAAAAACACAGAGCCAAATATAGGGGTGAAAGCCTTAGAAATCAGGGAAATAGTGATAGCCACCAATCTTACCTCCCCAGCTTTGCAGCTACCAAAAGTGAGTTACTTCCTGTCTACCCATGCCTTTATTGACCTGCTCTTCTGCCCTCTCATTGGCTTTTAGCCCCCTACCTCACTTCCTTGTCTCTGCCTGTCTGGACAGACCTCCAGGTCTCTATGGTTGTTACTGGGATTAAAGGTGTGTGTTAGCATGCTTGGCTGTTCCCTAGTGTGCCCCTGAACACACGAGACCCTGCCTGCCACATGATCAGATTAAGGGCGTGTACTACCTCTCCCTGACTTCTATGTTTACTTAAAAATGGCTGGCCTTTTCCTCCTTGATCTCCAGGCATGCTTTATTTATTAACATACAAATAAAATATCACCGTAATAACATTCGGTAACTCCAGTTATCCAGGGAAACAACAGCCTCTTCTGGCCTCTGTCTACATCATAGACTCATGGTGCACAGACCCACCTGTGTAACTGCATGATGAAAATACCATTCTATGTGTAAAACCCAGTACTTGTGTAAAAAAACATCAATCCTTGCCAAAACTAAAACAAAGGCTTATCTACTGAAGTCCATAGTTCTGGGAATATCTCTAAATGTTCAAACCTTTCTCAAAATATACTAACATTTTGGCTTCTGTCCTGCCACTTCTGGCTAACTGTTCTTGTTAACTGAAGTGTGTCAATCCACTTTTGTGCTTAAAAGCTCACCCTGAGAAAGGCTAGTTGCTGCACTGGAATCTGGAGCACCCCAGGTACTTGCCAGCGAGCTAATAAAGACTTTCTAATGGCTTAAATCAATATTCAAAGATTAAAGAGGACAGAACTCCCCAGGGAAGGATGAATACTATGAGGTATTGAGAAACTGAAGCCCTTAGGACCTTCTCATAGCATGTCCTTAAGTGGATCTGGAAGAATGTTGCCAAGGAGGATTATCTGAGGGGGAGGGGCAAGACGACCAATGAAAGTTGATGGAGTCATATTGGAGACTATTAGTCTGGATGGAATAAAGGCAGGAAAACGACAACTACTTTCAGAGGTTCCTGCCTGGCTCTGCTTCTTGCCCACCATATATGAATTTTTCCACCCTGACCTCCATGTTGTGAACGCTGAGATCTGACAAGGTAAGGAAAACACCTCTTCCTGGATCATGTTTATGGGAGGGATTAGTGTAAAACCCCGAGAAGATTAAATAACAGCTGTGTAGGAATGGACAACACCCCTTACTTTGTGGAAGATGAAGCATAGTAAGCAAAATACACTTGTCATGGTTGTTCTTGGTTCCCAACTTAACTAGACATGGATTAACTACAGTCTAAAACGGAGGGCACAACTGTGAGACATGTTTTGCTTAAGTAGGTAGATTCACTTCAAGTACAGACTTTGGAGGTTAAAAGACACAAACATTTAACCAGGATCTCAAGACCTGAGGACACACGCCTTTAATCCAGATCTTGAGGCTGGAAGACACACCCTAAATTGAGCCACGCCTTCTGCTGGAAGCCCTATAAGAAGACATGGAAGAAGGAAGCCGTCGCTCTTTGCCTGCTTGCCCTCTCCTTGCCACAAGTCCGTTCCTTCACTGGCATTAGAGAACACTTCAGAATTCCAGCATATACTGAAGACCAGCCGACTCATCCAACCTCCTGGATGAGGTGAAGAGAAAATAGTCCCTGGTTCTTAATTTTGGATCCAGTTTAACCTTCAAACTACCTCCAGAAGAAATGTCAGGGGATGGGATAGCCCAGAGCTGGGGCTACACGCAGATCAGCGTCCAGAATTTCTCCTACAAGTGGACCATCAGCAACTTCAGTTTTATTCTGGAGGGAATGCGGGGACACATTAGAAGCCCAAGTTTCTCACTAGGAGCCAATGAGAAATGGTGTTTGAGAATACACCGGGACGAGATCAATGAAGAAAGGACAACCTACCTGTCAGTTTACCTGGTGTTGCTCAGCTGTCCAAAGAATCACGTTTGGGCAAAGTTCCAGTTCTGGATCAAAAGCGCCGAAGGAGAGAAAACCCGAACTACGAAGAGCCCAAGAGCCTTTGTGTTTGTGCCACGCTACAGCTGGGGATTCAAAAAGTTCGTTCGTAGAGATTTCCTCTTGTCCCATGCCGACTGGCTTCTCCCAGATGACAAGTTCACCCTCTACTGCAAGGTGAGCATGGTCCAGGACTCCTTCAGCATCTCTGACCAGAACAGGAAGCCAGGGATCCAGGTTCCCAAGTGCACATTGGCAGATGAGCTAGGAGAGCTGTGGAAGAATTCCCGCTTCACAGACTGCTGCCTGTTGGTAGGTGGCCAGGAATTCCGGGCTCACAAGGCCATTTTAGCAGCTCGCTCTCCAGTTTTCAGAACCATGTTTGAACATGACATGGAGGAGAGCAAAAGGAACCGCCTTGAGATCCAAGACCTGGAGCCACGAGTCTTCAAGGCAATGATGGACTTCATTTACACCGGAACAGCACCAGACCTGGATAGCCTGGCAGCTGCTGTGCTGGCAGCTGCTGACAGGTATGGCCTGGAGCATTTGAAGATCATGTGTGAGGATGCCCTCTGCAGGGACCTCTCTGTGGAGAATGCTGCCCACACTCTCTTCCTGGCTGACCTCCACAGTGCGGGGCAGCTGAAAACCCAGGCACTGGATTTCATTACAGCTCATGCCTCTGAGGTCTCTGAGACCTCAGGCTGGAAGGCAATGGTGGGCTCATATCCCAACTTAGTGGCTGAAGCATACCGCTCCCTGGCTTCTGCTAACCGCCCTTTCCTGGAGCCCCCTCTCAAACGCCCGAAGCAATCCTAGGACCTGGGCATCTGTGACCTACATGTGTCTCTCAGAAGCAGCAGCCAGGGTTGTTGCCAATGACACCTGGGTAAACTATATGAAATGCGTGGAGCATTTACTGTGAATGTGGGGAAAGACAGCATGGTGGCTCGGGCTTTAATACAGCTGTAAATGAGTTGAACGGCAGGTCGGGGGAGGAGGAGCGTAGACTCTGGTATACTCTGCTCTGTTGCTGTCCCGGTTTAATTTTTGTCCAATGAACTGGAACCTGGGATTCAGTGTTGATGCCGGTCCCAAGCATATCCCAACAGGGTTTCTTTGGAGAAACCTGTCTGGATTGGACTGAGCAGAACACATATATGATCAAAGGCTCAGCAAAGGAGAAAATAAACATGAATGTTTGCTTACAAGAGACGGGGAAGAGAAAGAAGACATTTTTTCTACAAACTCCGTTTGTGGGGCCTGGAGAGATGACTCCGTTGGTGAAAGCAAGTGTTGCTCTTGCAGAGGACCCTTGTTCAGTCCTCCTCTGGTCTCCATGGGCTCATCCGTCTCTGTAGACCCTACCTTACCCCCAAAATATAAAATGAATAAAAATTTTAAAATAAAAAATTTCCTTTTTTTTTCTGTTATGGGTCATGTTGTGGCTTTTTTATTCCTTAAAATTTTAATTTCAATATCCATCCACCACTACCTCCCCAAAACTCCCTCTGGTGCCTCCAGTTCATCTCCTTCCCAACTTCATGCTGTCTTTTTTATTTTCATTTTTCTTTGGGGACGTGGCCAGGTAGTAACCTTGGTAGGTTACTTATGCCCCAGTGGATGGTCACATACCATGGGCCCATTTGCCTCAGTCAGATTTAGGGGTCATTAATACCAAGAAATCGCCAAAAATTCTTAACAAGTAGAATTTTGCATTATTGCCAGCTCCCATTTATTTCTATCAAAGAGGCTTTTCATTTGTTTGTATGCTTGCTTGCTTGAGACAGGGTTGTAGTGGGTAGCCATTCCAGCTTTGATCTGGAAGTTCCAACCCCCATTGAGACTTCGGCAACTGTCACGCCTACAAGGCGGGGCCCAGGGAGGCGCCTGGGGACCCGAGATCTGGATCGGTGTGCGCTCTCTCTGTTGCGGGACCCTGGATGGTGGAGGTGGGCCAAGCAGAGCTCCAGAGAACACCGCTGGACTGTGATACACCTTCCCCAGACCCCGCGACCTACCTATCCCTTAGCTTGTAAGTTACGCCATTAAATAAATCTCCTTTTAACTACGTGGAGTGGCCTTAATAATTTCACCAATATCTGGTGCTCACGTGGGGCAAATTCCAAAGGCCTGGGTGGCTCCCACCCTCAGCCTCCTCCCCGGCTAGCGGGTACCTAAGCCTGCCTGCAAAGTTCCATATAACCAGGGAACGCCTACACCGTTCCATTCTCTCAAGAGGGAGCAGCTAGTCCGGTCTCAGTTCCCTAGCTTAGCCCCGAGACCAGCGAAAGAGGCCCTCCCCGGCTTCCTGAGTGCCGGCTCCAGCTCCCGCCATCTCGACTCCAGCGAGCTGCAGTCAGCCAAGATCACCAGCAGGCCCTGCTTTGGAGCTGTACCAACGCCACCTGCTGGCTGAAAAGTGCTACTACACCCCCCCAAAACCATGAAAGGTAAGCATATTGTTTCAAGTAAAAGTACTTGATAATTTTACACCTTAAAATTGACTAACAAATTTTGAGTAATTCTTGTAATATGGCCAACAACATTACCTCACAAGAATTTGAAAACCTTTTTGCCTATATGATGAATGACATCTTCCTGGAAATATACGACCTTCCTAAGGCATATCTGGCCTGTACCATTTTGGCATTCATCGTAATTATTCACACAGTGTTCAAACACTGGTTTAATAACAAGAACAAAGTTGAGTCATTATTGGGACTGATACAGGCTTTAAAAGATAGCAATGAAAGCTTACAGAAAAGATTCTCTCTGGAATCTGCTTTACAAAATAGCAATGAAAACTTACAGAAAAAGATTCTTTCTCTGGAATCTGCTGATCAGGATTTACAAAACAGGCTTGTACCAAAAATTGATCTTATTGATAATAAATGTGAATATTTAATGGACGGAACACCTAACTCTCCAGATACTATATAAGGAAGAAAGATTATCATTAATTGATAAGATAAGGTCCATGGAATCATGTGTTTCTGAGGAACATAAAAACTTCTATGATTCCATGAGAAATCTGGTGTCCCTTGCCAGAGAGGAGGTTCACTCCCTAGAACAGACCCTAAGTGCTCATTTGCAAGCCTTAGAAGAAACTCTCAGTAAACATGACAAGGGACCTAATAAGCAGAAGGGCAAGACCATAGAGGTTGTAACGTCTCCAAATGGCTCTCATACAATGGCTTATCCTGTTATCATCCATGAGAAGCCAGCGGATGACACACACCCCGAGCCATATAATACATATACATTACAACCAATTTCAACAAGGGACTTTAAAAATATAAAGGAAGCAGTAGTTACGTATGGGATACACTCCACATATGTAAGACAGATGTTAAATTCGTGGTCTACCTCACATAGAATCATCCCAGATGACTGGCATCAGTTAATTTCAGCTGTTCTAGAATATAGCCAGCAGCTACAGTGGAAAAGCTGGTTGAGAGAAGAGGCAAAAAATTTAGAACAACAAGGTAAAATCAGAGGTTTTGTGATCTCCCAAGATCAAATACTTGGTGAGGGATGTTTCACTGACAGGAATGTACAAGTCACTTATAATGAGCATACAATATCCCTATGCTGTACAGCAGCTCTAAATGCTTGGGAAAAAATTCCAGAACCTGGAAAACCAACTGAGGTATACACAAAGATATTTCAGGGACCACACGAACCCTTCAATGATTTTTTACAAAGGCTGAACACAGGTATAACAAAAGCTGTATTAGATAAAGAATTAAGAAAAGTATTAACTAAGTCCTTGGCGTTCGACAATGCTAATACAGAAGAAATGGAATGGATAGGTATAAGATATTATGGTAGATTATTGTATATACTAGTAAACAAATTTAGTAAAATAGCAGCCTTAGATAATTTGCACTGTAATTTGCACTGTTATGGATTCTTATATGTTGATACAAATTTAAACTATTTTTATATTCCTATTTAAGATAATTTGTATATTGATACAAATACAGAACTATATTTGTTATAATGTACATATATTTCTACTCTTAATTGAAATATTTGTATATTGATACAAATGTTAATTTATATCTGTCATACTTTATGTATGTTCTACTTCTGCTTAGGATATTCGGTATATTGATATATATTTAAGATTATTGTCATATTGCATATTGCACTATATATTCCTACCTCTGTTATAAATATCTAGTGTATTGTCACAATTTTGAAGTCATCGTTCTTTACCATACATTTGCTTATAGAATGTTTACCTTGTTTATATGAATCCTTAGTCCTTAGGTTATTTCGGTAGATAAGACTTATAGATTTATAGTCACCTATGCTTGTCATCTCTATAGTTATGTTAGTTAGGTTATCCAGATTTACAGATACATAGGTCAGATAGACAGGTAATCTTCAAACACTTCATAGACCTAGAGAAAATGGCATTTAAATAACTTAGAATTCTGTTGACATGAGACACAATTGTTCCTGGCTGCATCAATTTGATCCCAAGAGAATGTTGGGCTTCTAAGACATTCCCATTTGGAAGTTTGTCTTCTTGGCACAAAATGGCCTGCTGGGCAAAGAACTGTCCTTTCCTCGACGGCTGACAGTACGAATGCAATGCTGTCCTTTCTGGACAAGCAGGACACAAGGAAAGCGACCACTGTACTCTGCCAAGACAGGGTAAGATGGTCTTTCAGAATTCCTGCTTCTGAAAATGGTCTGTCAGATACTCTAGGCCTGTAGCCAATTTGAATGCACCAACAATGCTGAGAAATATTAGGTGACTGTCCAGGCTGCCAGCTGTCTCTGTCTACTCTTGAAAGATTCCCGAAAGTTGCTTGCATCCATCTACCATTTCTCAGGTACCATTATATTCCTTCTCAGGTCTTTGATGGGATTGAAGACTAGCAGTTATAGTTACAACTTAGTAGATATAACATATTAAGTATTAGATTCAGGTTCTTTAGGATAGGACACCTTTTGGAATGATCTTTGTAACATGCCATTTACCTATGCTCTATACTTCTCTGGATTTTAGTATGTGTTTCTTGCTTGATATTGTTTGCAGTGGTTGTAGTTCCATCTTATCTAGGTCATTATCCCTCATTATTCCTGGACAATATTTGATAACCATTCCTTTGTATATAGTCTTGTATTAGGTTAGAACCTTCTTATTTAGACAAAAAAGTGGAGATGCAGTGGGTAGCCATTCCAGCTTTGATCTGGAAGTTCCAACCCCCATTGAGACTTTGGCAACTGTCACGCCTACAAGACGGGGCCAAGGGAGGCGCCTGGAGACCCAAGATCTGGATGGGCTGCGCACTCACTGGGTTCCGGGACCTTGGACGGTGGAGGTGGGCCAAGTAGAGCTCCAGAGAACACCGCTGGACTGCGATACACCTTCCCCAGACCCTGCGACCTACCTATCCCTTCTTTTGTAAGTTACACCATTAAATAAATCTCCTTTTAACTACGTGGTGGAGTGGCCTTAATAATTTCACCAATACAGGGTCTCGCTCTGTAGCCCAGGTTGACCTAAAACTCACAATGTAGCCCAAGCAAGCCTGATAATGCTCCCGCCCCAACCTTCTGAATGCATGCATACAGGCATGAGTGACTAGGCCTAGTTCTAGGCAAGTTAAGAGACTTGTCATGAATGAATACAGACTTTTGTTTTGTCTTGTTTTTTTTACATTTATTTATGTATTTATGAAGTGGTGTGTATATGTTAAGGTCAGAGAATAACTAGCTGGAGTCAGTTCTGTCCTGCTGTGTGTGGCTCCTGGGGATTAAGCTCAAGTCCCAAGGTGTGGCAGCAAGAGCCTTTCACACTAAGCTGTGTCACCAGCAGAGAATTTTACTTTATTGAATAAATTTCTCTTACGTTTTGAATTGCTATGAATTATTTTTGGTTAATTACTATTTGGCTAATTTCTGAAATTGAATTCTTTCAGAATATAAAATTAACCCTTCATCCTAGAGACAAATAAATTCCATGATATTTTATGCATCTTAATGTCATTGGATTCTGTTTAGTAAATTTGAGGGAGGGAGCTTTGCAACTGGGTTTCTGAAAGATAATCTTTTAACATTCCTTTATTCCTACATTGTTTGAGTTGATCAAATGAATTGGGAAGTCTTTCATTCTTTTCAATTTTATTTTACTTTGTTTAATTTTATTTGAATAATATGGTGCTAATTCTTGAGTGGAATCATCTGGGCCTGGAATCATTGTTTGGGAAAGTTATAATTACAGATTCAATTGCTTTAATATATATCAGCCTATTCATTCTATGTCTTTCTTT